GTTTCTCGTTCATGGGTTTAATCCTTATTTACTTTGGACGGCACAGGATGACATCGTGCGGTTTAGAGAAGCTGAGGATAATTGTCCTAATGTTTGAAGCCACAGGGATTTTTAAAAGCCTTTTGTTCAATTATGAACTGATGTGGGCTAACACTAGTTGAATCTCTGAAACTGTGTTTAACATATATTATTTCAATTGTCATATAAAATGAACTGCAACCCAGCTGACACTTCTTTTTTTAAATTAAATCTTTCATTTTGAAATAATTATAGATTTAAGCTGCCACCTTCCCTAGTTTTGACACAGTGGTCTTGTGCAGGAGATGAACCTCGTCAATCAGCCTACTCCATGCTCTTGGTTGTGTCTCAAATCTTTTTTTTAACGGCCCCAGTAGTTGTGGATGTGTGGATATCCATCAGTGTCCCAAGTGGGAGGTTCACAGTTGACACCCAGATGCAGGCCTGTTGGACACTAGACCCTCAGGCAGTATCTGGGAATGTAAAATGCTATGTCCTTCTAAGGCAGAAATCAAGAGGTAGACTTTTTACTTGCTCCTTCTGTGTGAGCTGAGGATGTATAACCATGGCGATGGGTGCTCTGGAGCTCATTAGGAATTTCTTTTTGACCACAGTCCTGTGGGACTCTTGAATGCATGCCCTGTTGTCTATCAGAGCCAGATGATCCAGGGGCCCTTCCCTCAGGCAGCAACTGCCAAAAAAAAGAAATAAAATAAAATAAAAATCGGGCAGCAGACATATATAAGCAACGTCTGATACAGGAAAAATGTGGTGCGTGTAGCCATGTCCCAGGTCTCAGGCAAGCCCCTGGGACGTGCCTCACCAAGTGAGGGTCCTTGGCTTCTCACAGGAAAGAATTCAAGTGAGAGCCATAGTAGAGCAAAGGTAGATTTATTCAGAGACATACATACTCCATGGACAAAATGCAGGCTGTCTAAGGCCAGAGAGGTCACGAGGCGTTGGGCAGGAGGGTGGAGGGGGTGGGGGTCGGGGGTGGTTAAAGTAAGGTAAAGTAGATACACAGTCTATAGACAGAATGCAGTCCATCTCACTCAGAAGGGAGAGTGGTGGCCTAAGAGAGTGGCATCGGCTAGGAAAAATGAGACCGACCACAGGATATGGGGGTTGTTAGTCTTTATGGGTTCGGTAACCTCATATGCTAACAAGTGGGAGGATTATTTCAACTGCTTTGGGGAAGGGGGGCTGGGATTCCCAGGAACTGGTCTACCACCCACTTTTTGACCTTTTATGGTCAGCCTTGAAACTGTCGCGGTGCCTGTGGGAGTGCCATTTAGCATGCTGTTGTACACCAATGAGCATAGATTGAAGCTCAAGGTCTACTGGGAGTTGACTCTTGCCACCATCTTGGTGCTAATGGCTGTGTCATTCTTTTAATGGTTGTACCCTGCCCTTTTCCCGCCTGACTCACTTCCCCGGAGATACTGGTGACTTGGGATGGGCTAGAGAAAGAGGGCAATGGGGATGTTCCCATACCTCCCTTGTCTCTATGGAGGATTGCTGTCCACGCTTAGATGCCAGCTTAAATAGAAGCCTGGCCCTCAGGCAGCACATTTGGAAGTATGCAAATAGACCCCTTTAAGGGAAAACTGGGAAGATGGGACTTTCTGCTCCCTCTACCCTGAGCCGTGGGGAGATTGCCAGTTAAGAACTGCTTCTTTGTTTGCTATAGTCTGTGGAACTCCTGAATGGAAGCCCTGTTGGCTATCAGAGCCATGTGACCTGGGGAGATGTCCCTTGGGCCTCAGCCACAAAAGCTGAGACATACACATTTGTAGAAGCTCCTTTCAGTGAGACAGACAATGGTTATTTGAGGTAGGCTGGAGGGAGAGGGTAGTGGGGAGTGTCTACAGGCTTCCCTGGTCTCTGAGGAGGATTGCACCAGCCGTTTGGATGTGTGCTAAATTGGAAGCCTGATCCTCTGCTAGTAGCTTTTAAAGCATGCAAATAGACTCCATTCAGGAGAACACTGGGAGATGGGCATTTTTTTTTGCCTGCTCCGTCAGCACAGAACACTGTTGTCACAGTGAGTGCACACTCCCATTATTAACTGGTCTTTGTTTGCTACAGTTTGTGGGTCTTGTGGACACACACTCCATGGCTTGCAGAGCGAGGTGTTTTCGAGGTCCATCCCACTGGTGGGAGTCTTAAAATTTGGAGATGCTAGATATGGAGTCCAAACCCTTCATTCCTCAGGCAGAAGCTGGGAACTGGGGATTCCCTCTGAGGTTTTAGCACTGTGCTGAGGGTGGGGTTTAGGGCAAGAGTGTGTCTCAGCCTTTCCTACCTGTTTCCATGTGGATGTCTTCTCCTTTGTCCCATGTATGGGAGTCACTCAGCCAGTTTCGAGATTTCATTCAGAGGAAATTGCTTCATATATATCTATTTATTTGGTGTGTGCTGTGGGACAAGGCAGGCCAGTACTGCGGGTGGTAAAAGAATTTACCAGAGACAAAGCAAAGTGAAAGAAAAAGTTTATTGGGGGTACGCTCCACAGACAGCAAGCAGTAAGTCACACACATGAGAGGTGACTGTGCATGCTCCAATGGTGAAAGCTTATGGTCTTTTATAACAGGGAGGACTTGGCGAACACAATGGGTTGGGGGCTGTGTGATCAACTTGTGCACAAGTTTCTTATTTATTGTAGGTGAGGTAATAAAGTTAGGGTCCATAAAGGGGCAGTGGGATTTACGACTCTGATAAGGAGGAGACATGGGCTGAGACAAGTCAGCCTGAGTTGTTGTGAGATTAGGCATTACCTAGGGCTATTAATTCTGCTAGGACAAACACATCCCAGAAAAGAACACACTTTATCTTTTGAGGGATTGCAGGTGGACATCTGGGACCCAGGAATGGGGATCGTTGGACTTTGAGGGGTGCCAGTTGGCCCCACAGTGTGTTTATGAGAGGTGGGAGTTTAGAAGCTTCCTATGACACCATCTTTAAAGATCACCTCTGGCATTTTACTCTTTTGGTGCCTATGGTTTCATTCATTGGGCTATTAGAACAGCCAAATCCAAACATTGCCAACATAAAATGCTAGTGATCATGCAGCTCTGTATAAATCTTAGTCCATGTGAATTTTATTTTTGCACGTAAAATGAAGTACAAGATCAATTTCACTTTTTTTCTAAATGGATAAAATACTTTTAATTAATTTTAGTTAATTTTTAATTAATATACTCCCCACCAGTTTCCAGCACCAGTGTGCTATCAAACCTTTGGATCTTTGCCATTCTGTTAAGAGAAAAATGGCATCTCTGTTCAGTTTGGGTTTGCATTTTTATTATGAATCATTTGTGTGTATGTACATACATACATTTCTATGAACCCATTTTTCCATTGGGCTTTTGGTCTTTATCAGTTTTGGAGGTGCTCTTTGTGTATCAGGGAAATTTACCCTTTGTGATGTGATACGCGAATGCTTTTCCCAGTTAGCAATTTGATTTTTCACTTTTCTTACAGCAGTTTTACCACATACATTTTATTTTTGTGTATTTAAATTGATTACTCCTCATTTTTATGGTTTCTGGATTTTGTGTTAAAACAAACAAACAAAAACCTTCCCTATTCCAATATGATCAAAGAAATGTCCTGTGTTTTCTTTTTCCCAATACTTTGATGAGGTGGTAGCAGCGGTTAGCGTGGGCTAAAAGTTTATATTTGTCTTTGATGTATCTGGAGTTTATCCTGATATAGGAGCAGAGGTTTGAAACCAACTTGTTTTTTCTACTGCTTGATAATTGTCCCTGTATCATCTTTTCCCTACTGATTTGAAGTGCAGGAGTTGTGCTTTTGAAGAGATTCCTTCCTTTTGTCCTAGGGCACACATGAGTTAGCCATCACAGCCGTCTTGATTGATTATAACATTCATCAGATACTAAATACCCGTGACTTTAGATCTCTCCCTGAACGTAAGGTCCTAAGAAAACTGGAACCTTCGCGGGGAGCTTCGCTGGCACGCCTCCAGAGCGCGCCACGACGAGCACTCAAACAGCGAACGAACAACCCTTCACAGGCGCCTACGGCCTCGCAGCGCCCCACGGGTCACGTGCCCGCACGGGGCCATACCATCGAGTCAGTCCTCCAGCGTCCCAGAGAGGACTCGGAAGTGCCCCGGAGCCGGCTTCGGTTTTTCCGGCCGGGCCGTCCGCGCTTTTGTCCCGCCGGCGGCCGGGCTCCCGCGGCGCCGCCACAGCCAGTACGTGAGTCCGAGGCCGCCCGCGCTCCCGTACCCGGCCCTAGCCCGCCACGCCCTTTCCTTCTAGGCCGGGTCCTGGCTCCCCCTCGGGTCTCGGGCGGGATCTGGGAGGAAGTGTGCCCCGCTCCCCGTACACACCTCAGCGCGTTCCCGGGTAGTGGAAGGGAGGGAAGACCTCCGGCCGGCCGAGGGGTGTAGGGCGCGCCCCGGGATCGTATTGGGCCCCGAGATCTCCCGCTGTCCGAGGGGCCAGGGCCTGGCTGGGGCTGCCCGGTGTCTGGAGAAGGGCTAGGGCCCCGCCCCCGTGTTTCTCAACTACTCGCTGCTGTCTCGGGCAGGAGGGGAACCCTGAAAATGAGCGCTTTTAACTGAGCCACCATTTGTGCCCCCGTTGCGGTTAAGTTTGGCCCTGATATTTGAGAGTGAATACGAGAGTTGGGGGGGTCCCTGAGGGGTGATCTGATTCGCCCCTCCCCCCACTTTTTTCTTTGATGGGGGAATGATGTTGAGAGACTCCTGCCTCAGGTGTGGATCGAGCCACCGGGAGGGGCTTTCCAGCCTTCGCCCTAGGGGAGCTCACGTGTTATACAGACCGGGGATCCCGAGCGCTGGCTCTACAAGATGATCAGGAATTGACTAGGTAGGGAGAAGGTCGAGAGGCTCCTAGACCTGGGGACAGCCTGCGGGAACCCAGGCTTGAGGATGTGAAAGATGGCTGGGGCTGGGTGTGCTCCTCTAAGACGTTTGGAGTAGGTGGCCGCCAGGAGTGTTTACTTTTTGAAAGCACGAGGATTTTTTTAAAATAAAATTTTGAGTATGTAATGTATTCATTCTTATGATTCAGATCTTAAAAATATGAAAAGCTGTCAGTGAAAAGGTTTTCTTCTGCCCATATTCCTAGGCCCAACCCCTCAGATCACCAACCACATTTGTTAGTTTATTTGAATGTATGCTTCCAGAATTTCTTTGTGCAAACACTGGCAAATAGGAATGTTAGTGCCCCCTTTTTTCACATAGGTGGTAGGGTACTGTTCAAAGCTCTGCCGCTTGCTTCTTTTGCTTAATCTGTTTTAGAGATCATCAGAACACTAAGCGCTTTTTTTTTTTTTCTTTGCTGCTGCTGCTTTTTTAAAATATACTGCTGTGGTATTGGATTGAGCACTGTTGGATGTTTCATAATTTTTGGATCTATTCAGGGCATTTGGGTTGTTTCCATTTTTTTGTACTTTAAACAATGATGTACGCAATGATGTGGTACTAGGGCATATCTGAGCAGGGTTTTTTAAAAGAAAGGATTAACCGTCATAAAAAAGTTGTTTTATGTTAACTCAGCCAGGTATTGCTACATTGTCAAATATGCCAAGTCATTATTATAATAACTCATATAGTGTTTAGAGAACAAATTAAACCAAGTAGCTTTTCTCTCCTGAGACTTGTGTTTATGATACTTAGCTTTACAGCAGCCTAATAAACTAGTTCTATTAATGATTCTCCTCAAGCCAATCTTTGCCCCTTTAGCTTCAGAAAAATCTCTCAGCCTCCCTTTCAGAATCTCCTTTGTTTACTTTATTCCTTAGGGTGACTAGAAATCTCTTCTCTACTACCAGGTATGAGAATGTTCTATTTCATTTTTTATTTTAAGGAAAAATCACTCACCTTTAATCATAAGGATTAATCAATAGAACCAACTTATGTTAACCATTTGCAATTCTGATACTCATAAACTAATTTAGTAATAACTAAAGCACAAACCATACTCTCTCTCTTGCCATCTGCATGTCACTTCTGTCACTCCTTGTCCCATCTTTCATTTGTCCCATCCTCCCACTTCTTTCTTCTGAGTTGGTAAGGATTTTGTGTTCACATTTCCTCTTGTGTTCTCTTTTTCTTTCTTTGGGCACCTCCAAGTCCAATATGATATCAAGAACTTAAGGCACAGAACCCAGATGGTAGACCGACTTGTGGAATATGGTCAGTACTCTGGAAATCCATAGTAGCTGCAGGCATGTTGCACCTGTTGCTTGTTGAAGTCTGTTGTTAAGGCAGGAATTTTCAGCCAGAGTGAGCCATAATTCCTCTTCTATGAGTTGTCTAATCTCTTGAGAAGTGGCTCCTGACTCCTGGGTAGGAACAGTAAGCGTTAAGGGCAGGTTCTTACTATCTCCCTGAGCTTTTCTAGACATTGGTGGTAGAATGTGAACAACCAGCATAGAGGTGCCCAGAGTTTCTGGGTCATGTGTAATTTGGAAGGAGTGGATGGTTATCTATGGCTGAAATTTTTTAACTGATGTAACCATGCTTTTGGGTCATGCTTGCTTCCTGTTGAGAACTGGTTAAAGAGGAGTTTCCCCATCAACGTTGAGAACTTTTGAGAAATTAAACCCATCTGGCCCTCTCTCTATGCAGGAGTTGTGCTTTTGGAGTGATTCCTTCCTTTTGTCCTAGGGCATACACGAGTTAGCCATCACATCTGTCTTGATGGGTTATAATAACCTCCTTCCAGACTCTGGGACTCAGTTCTCTCTCCCCTCAATCCATTCTCCCACTGCAACTAGTATGAGTGGTCTTTATTTCTTTTAATTTTATATTATAAAAAATGTAAACATAACAGGAAAGTAGTATAGTACAGTGAACTCCATACATCCATCACAGTTATTAGAATTCCATTCAACAGTGATTAGAATTCTCCTACCTTTGTTTCACGTTTCTCTTTTTCTTTGTTGAAGTATTTTAAAGGAAATTCCAGACATCATACCATTTCACCTAGCATAGTTCAATCTAAAAAAAAAAGACACTTATAACATAGCCACAGTGCTGTTACCTCACACCATCCTAAATTAACTCTGATTCCTTGATATTATCTAACAGAGAATGGCAGACTTTTGGGTTTATGGCCGGCAAACTGAGAATGGTTTTCACATTTTTTAAGGGTGTTAAAAAGAAACCAAAAAGAAGAAAGACAGAAAAATAAGCAGTAGAATTGAATGTGACCCCCAAAACCTAAAATGTTTTCTATCTGACCCTTTGCTAGCTCCTGATTTGATGGAATAAGTTATCTCCAAAATGCATATCCGAGTTTGCTACTCTTTGCCTAAAACTTCTGGGGGTCAAGTCTAGACTCCTTAGTATGACGGGCAGACCCTGGTGCAGCCCTTATTTTTGCCCACCTGTCCAGCTGTACTTGCCATCCTCTGTTCCAGATGTCCAGTGGGTGGTGAACACCCGCCCCTTTGCCCCTGCTGTTCTCTCTGTTACAGCTGTTTATCTCTTCCTGAAGCTCTACTTAGTTTTTTGAAGCAATCTACCCCTTCCGCCTCTTACTTCATCCATGCCTCATGTCTGCCATTTTTATTGTGTTGGTTATTTTCCTGCCAGACTCACCTACTAGTTTTGCAAGTCCTTGATGGACTTGTCTTATCCATCTCTGTGACCCTAGGACTAGCCCAGTCACTGGGGAGAAAAGCAGGGTACGGATCATAATAGAAGTTCCTTGGGCAATACTCAGCCTCAGGTATAACTGAGATACTAGAGTGCATCTTCAGTATTATTTATAAGGGTAACAATATTTTGTTACATTCTCTTTACAGTTTAGCAGCTATCTTAGTCCACATGGGCTGCTATGATAAAATACCACAGACTAGGTTTTTAAGGTGGCTTATAAACAACAGAAATTTGTTTTTTCTGTTCTGGAGGCTGGGAAGTCCAAGATCAAGGCACCAGGGGATCTCTGTGGGGTGTCTTTTATTGGAACACTAATCCCATTCATGAATGCTCCACTCTCATGACCTAAGTACCTCCCACAGACTCCCCCTTTGTAATACCATCATGTTTTAGTGTTTTTCTGCCTATGTTTTTGACTGAACTTTTCTTCACCTTGGATTAACTATCTATTTTCAATGAAGATGCATGTTTATATTGCTATTTTGATTTCAGTCATTAAGAGGATTGGATGAACTACATCAGATGATGGAATACACTGCTTCCACTGAGAGGAGGTTAAGCAGGGCTAGAACAGGGAGACTCCTGGAGTCTGCCTGGGTCAGGGAGGTAAACAGTGAAGTATTTGTAATTTCATGCAGAGCAGGGCAGTCAGCAGCCAATCAAACACGGAATCCCAGAGGACACGAAGGGGCCTGAGAATTAGCCTATCAGAGAAGGGAAAGGGTCCACCGGAACTACGGATCACTAAGTGTGGTGTCAGCAAGGAGTAAATTAGCATGGCCCCTTCGGTGTCCAGCAAGTCACTCCAGCTGCCCAGGTGCAGAGGGCTTGAAGAACCTCACCAAGTAGCCTGGGAACACCTAATGGGGAGTGCCCAGGTGTGCATTTTACAGAACTCTTGACAGCTGTTGGAGGAAGAATTGGACAGGGATAAGAGTGAAGGTAGGGAGACTATGGCAGAAGGGAATTTAGGAGGCTTAACCTAAGAACTTAGTATTAGGAATGGGCGTGGGGACTTGAGAACTGTGCAGGCAGCAGAATCAGCTGTTCTTAAAGTCTTTTGGACGTGGAGTGATAAGGGAAAGAGAGGAGCCCACGTCTGATTTAGGCAACAGGGAACAAGGTGGATATGAGGCTCTATAATTGAAGAGAGTGGTCTGGGCCAGAGATGAGGCTCTGCCAGACAGCTTGTAGGAGCCATGCGCATAGACAGGACTGCCCAGGCAGAGTATGTAGAGTCAGCAGAGGAAAGGGCCAGGACGGAACAGGGGGCCAGGAACATCCAGGGGCCAGCAGGCAGGGGAGTCAGCACCTGGCCCCGAAGAAACTAATGCAGCACGGACTGAGTAGAAGAAATCAAGTTGAATAGATGAGGCATGAGGGGAGATGAGACGTGAAGACCACTTTTTCCACACATAACTGAACAGGAGGCAAGATGGCGAAAGCAGTACCTGGAGGGGAAGGTGTAGTTGAGAGAATTTAAAATTTACATTTTGGCATTTTTTAAACTTTTTATTTGGAAGTAATTTCAAATATACAGAAAGAATTTCAAGGATAAGAAAAGTGAAAAAAATACACTTATTTACCTATGCTTAACATTTTCCTTTGTCTTCTTTTTGTTGCTCTTTCATGCATATATATATATATTTTTTTTTTCCACCAAAGCATTTGAGGGTAACTTACATCATGGCCCTTTATCCCTAAACACTCAGTGTATGTTTACAAGGGTTGCATAATTACAGTATGTTGATATTTTTGCCTAACTTAACTATATTCCAGTTTTGTCAGTTGACATAATTATTTTTTATAACAGCTTTTCCCTCCAGTACAGATCCAGTTGAGGTCAGGTATTCAATTTAGTGGTCAAATCTCTCTAGTCTTTTTTCATATGGAGCATTTCTGTAGCCTTTCTTTGTCTTTTATGAAAATGATGCTTTTGAAGAATATAAATATCTTTTAGTAGAATGTTCTTTATTTTGGAAGATTGCCTGATTTACTTGATGTTTCCTTGTGTTTCAGTTCAGGTAATGCTTTCTTACAGGTGATGTATCCTCAGGGTGTCACATCTGGGAGCACATGATATGTATGTGCCCCCACTGGTGGTATTAATTTAAGACATCTTGCCAAGGCACTGTCTAATCTCTACACTGTAAAATTACTATTTTTTTCTTTTAGGAATATTTTAAGACCATGCATATATACAGCTCCTTCTCAGAATTTTGCCCTGGATTTAGAATCCATCAGTAATTCTCCCTAATCCAGTCTCTACTCTGATTGTTGCAGAATGTGATTTTTTTTCTTCCCAGTCTTCTTACTCCCTCCACATTTACTGACTGACCCTGTAATTTAAAATAATGCTGTGATGAATAACTTTGTGCATATATACTTTTGTATTGGAAGTGTATCTTCACTATAAATTCCTAGATGGGATTTCTGGATTAGAGTATAATGTGTACATAGTTGTGTAGATTTTGGCAAATTTCCTTCAACAGGTGTTACGCCAGTTTGCATTCCCAGTGATGGATGAGAGTGCCTGTTTCCCCACACCCTCACCCACAGAGTATGCTATTAAGCTTTGACTGTTTGCCAATCTGACAGATGAGAAAGGAGATCTTAGTATAATTCTTATTTGCATTTCTCTTACTATGAGTGAAATTGAAAATACTTTTAAGGACTGTTTTAGTATTTCTTTTTGTGAATTGTCTATTACGTCTTTTGCCCATTTTTTCTGTAGGATTTTTGTCTATTTTTCTCCAATTTTTAAAGATTCTTTGAATATTAGGGTACTAGGCCTTATACATGATGTATGTTGCAAATACTTTCTGCCTCTTGGTCATTTATTTCTTGATTTTCCTCATGATATTTCTGCCATGCAATTTTACTTTTATTTCTATACAGTCAGACTTACCAGTCTTTAATTGCATCTGGGTCACAGAACACTCTCTGTGTACTCAGGTTATAGAGGCATTCACCTGTGTTTTCTTCTAAAATTTGTATAGTGTCACTTTTTAATATTTAGAGTTCTGCTACATTTGGAGTTTATTCCTGTGTGTGGTGTAAAGAATGAACCTAATTTTATTTTTTCCAAGTGGCTTTATAGTTGTTTCAACACTATTAAAAAGACCCTTTTTCCCTCAATAATTTGATATGCCATCTTTATCATATACTTGATTTCTGTGTGTAACTGGGACTGTTTCTAGATTTTGATTCCATTCTGTTTATTTATACACCAATATCACACGTTTTAATTTTAGCAGCTTTTTGGTGTATTTATCTATCTAGTGTGGCTAGTCCTCCTCCCTTGTAGCCCTTCCTTCCAGCCCCCACTGATAAATTTTGTGTGTTTTCCTGGCAATTTTAGGGGATTTGGTTTTAAGGCTGTAGAAACTTGAACATCTTTCCTTTCTGAGGGCTGAGGGTGAATAGAGCTGGAGGGGCCAAGGCCAAGGGAATGGATGGAACATGATCCCTGGTGTGGTGGGAGCAGGATTCAGCACAGATAAAAGGTGTGTTGCTGTTGATGGTCTGGAATTCCACTGCCCGCCCATTAGCCCTCACATTTTAAGTGACATGGACTGCTTTGCCCCAGGTAGTAAAGAAAGGGAGCAAGGAACTTAGGTTGCGCCATCATTCCTCGGTGACTTCTAATGATCTCTTATCTGATACTACTTAACAGTCATTTTGTGAAGCTTTCTCAGGTGAACCACCTTTGGTTTAAATGTCTACTGAGTGATTATTATTTTATCTTCCTGGTGATATTCTGAGTTCTTGGCCCCTGTTCTGTAAATTTTAATTCAGAATTTGTCATTCCAAACCCATTAGCATAAGTTGGATGATGAGTGTGATTCTTTATACGTGTCCACTCCAGAGTATACATCTTATTTCTCTTTTATTGCCCCTGCTTCCTTGTCACGTGTTCATGTATAGAATTTCTAAATAGAGTTACAGAGTACTGACCAAGAGAGTCTGACATCCGGGGTAAGAGAAGAGGTCTGAATTTTAACTCAGCCTAATCACAAATGTCTGATTGTCTAAGTTGGTGTGAGATGTCTCAGGAGTCAGTCTTTTAGTTGGTAGCCAGCTGCGGGTAGACTGCCTTAAGGAGAACAGAGAGTCACTGCCTGGCCCCTCAAGTCTGGCTGGAGAAGGATTTTACCTTTCCTGAGTCCTGTGCTTTATCCTCAGGTTCCAGCCCGGATCCAGTAACTTGGCCTTGTTTGAATAATAAAATAGGTGATATAGCATATAGAACTAACCAGGTGACTGGCATTGTTCTCAGTGCTTTATATAGGTTATTTAATTTAATACTCACAGCAGTTCTGTTGCCCTCACTTACAGACGAGGAAGCTGTGGCATAAAGAGGTTAAATAACTTTCTTGAGGTCACACATCTACTAGGTATTTGAACCTAGGCAGTATTAGTTCCTTTGCTTAATGGTTTGTGTTTTAGCTTCTGATCTTTGATATGCTCTGACTCAAGTCAGCTGTTCATAAAGTAGGAGTGAAAGCTCTTTGCCTGGAAGGCCAGAGTATGTTCTTCCATGTAGAGTTCCTCCCTGACTAAACTGCTCTCCAGGGTCAGTATTTTCTTTGGGGGTGGAAATCCAGCAGGCCATACCAATAGCAGGCAGCTGTAGCTTGTTTTCTTTCTTATCTCTGACCTGACTGTCCTCATGACTTCATAACCAGCTCTCCAATACCTTTGCCCATGTACTCATTTCTCCTTTAGTTTTGTCTGCCTTCTGCTGATTATGTCTTCTTAGCTTTTGTCTTATTAATCTTTCTTTCTCTTAATTCTTCAGAGATTCCTTCTACCCTCTGTTTTTCCAAGACTAGGTGGCATTTTTCAAAAACTGATCAATGTTACCCTTGGTTCTGTGCCTTATTTCAACCCATTTCAACTTGCCTTCATGCTAAGCTGTTTTGCAAGAATAGAAAAGCTCTTTGTTCCATTGACAATCCAGGGCTCTGGCATTTTCACACTAGCTCCACAGGGGCAGAAATGTTGGCCTGTCCAGTATTGTATCCATCAATAAACATTTGTTGAGTGAATGAATGCTTTTGGATGTAATTCCTTCAGTTTCTTCTAAACCAAGTGAACAGGTATCATTTTCATTTTCTTGGTTTAGTGTCACATTTGAAGACGAGGGGCACTGAGGATGAGGAATCAACTGAAAACTATGAAAATACTGGAAATGCAGAATCTGTGTGGCTAAAAGTGGAAGGTCTTCACAAGGATCATATGCAGGAATCTAAGGTTGGTGAAACTTGTGATTGGGATAGCAAGGTAGAGTATCAGTTGGAAAAGCCTGAGGGAGAAAGAATGAAGGAAGACAAAAGTGGCATCAGGGAAAAGATTGGCAAAGCCAAGAATACAGCAAATATAAAGACAGAACAGGAAGATGAGGCATCTGAGAAAAGCTTACATCTGAGCTCAAAACATACTGCACACCAGACTGTCCCTGTAGAACCGAAAAGCAGTGAACAGGGCAAGTGCATGGAGAGCGTTAATGGGAACTCTCACTCCAGTCTACAGCAGAAAACCAGTGCTGTTAAGAAGTCACATAAGTGTGATGAGTGTGGGAAATCCTTCAAATATAATTCCCGACTTGTTCAACATAAAATTATGCACACTGGTGAAAAACGTTACGAGTGTGATGACTGTGGAGGGACTTTCCGGAGCAGCTCGAGCCTTCGTGTCCACAAGCGGATCCATACTGGGGAGAAGCCGTACAAGTGTGAGGAATGTGGGAAAGCCTACATGTCCTACTCCAGCCTTGTAAACCACAAAAGCACCCATTCTGGGGAAAAGAACTGTAAGTGTGATGAGTGTGGAAAATCCTTCAATTATAGTTCTGTTTTGGATCAGCATAAGAGGATCCACACTGGGGAGAAGCCCTATGAATGTGGCGAGTGTGGGAAGGCCTTCAGGAACAGCTCTGGTCTCAGAGTCCACAGAAGGATCCACACAGGCGAGAAGCCCTATGAATGTGACATCTGTGGGAAAACCTTCAGTAATAGCTCTGGCCTTAGAGTCCACAAAAGGATTCACACGGGGGAAAAGCCCTATGAATGTGACGAGTGTGGGAAGGCCTTCATTACCTGCAGAACACTTTTAAACCATAAAAGCATCCACTTTGGAGATAAACCTTATAAATGTGATGAGTGTGAGAAGTCATTTAATTATAGTTCTCTCCTCATTCAGCATAAAGTCATCCACACTGGAGAGAAACCTTATGAATGTGATGAATGTGGAAAGGCTTTCAGGAACAGCTCAGGCCTTATAGTGCATAAAAGGATCCACACAGGAGAGAAACCTTACAAATGTGATGTCTGTGGCAAAGCATTCAGCTATAGCTCAGGCCTCGCCGTCCATAAAAGCATTCATCCTGGTAAGAAAGCCCATGAATGTCAGGAGTGTGGAAAATCCTTCAGTTATAACTCACTTCTTCTTCAACATAAGACAATTCACACTGGGGAAAGACCTTATGTATGTGATGTGTGTGGAAAAACTTTCAGAAACAATTCAGGACTCAAGGTCCACAGGAGGCTCCATACCGGGGAAAAACCATATAAGTGTGATGTGTGTGGAAAAGCCTATATCTCACGCTCTAGCCTTAAAAACCACAAAGGAATCCATCTTGGGGAGAAGCCCTATAAATGTACTTATTGTGAGAAATCCTTCAATTACAGCTCTGCCCTTGAACAGCATAAAAGAATCCATACAAGGGAGAAACCCTTTGGGTGTGATGAGTGTGGAAAAGCCTTCAGAAATAATTCAGGCCTTAAAGTACATAAACGAATCCACACTGGGGAGAGACCTTACAAATGTGAAGAATGTGGGAAAGCCTACATCTCACTCTCAAGCCTTATAAATCATAAAAGTGTACACCCTGGGGAAAAGCCCTATAAGTGTGATGAGTGTGAAAAAGCCTTTATCACATACCGAACCCTCATAAACCACAAAAAGATTCATCTTGGGGAGAAGCCCTACAAATGCGATGTGTGTGAGAAATCTTTTAATTACACCTCACTCCTTTCTCAACACAAAAGGGTCCACACTAGAGAGAAACCCTATGAATGTGACAGGTGTGAGAAGGTCTTCAGAAACAACTCAAGCCTTAAAGTGCATAAAAGAATCCATACTGGTGAGAAGCCCTATGAATGTGATGTGTGTGGAAAAGCCTATATCTCACACTCGAGCCTTATTAACCATAAAAGTACCCACCCTGGCAAGACACCCTACACATGTGATGAGTGTGGGAAAGCTTTTTTCTCGAGCAGAACTCTCATAAGCCATAAAAGAGTCCACCTTGGGGAGAAACCCTTCAAGTGTGTCGAGTGTGGGAAGTCTTTCAGTTACAGCTCACTCCTTTCTCAGCACAAGAGGATCCATACAGGGGAAAAGCCCTATATCTGTGACAGGTGTGGGAAGGCCTTCAGGAACAGCTCAGGCCTCACGGTGCATAAAAGGATCCACACGGGCGAGAAGCCCTATAGGTGTGATGAGTGTGGGAAGGCGTACATCTCACACTCGAGTCTTATCAACCATAAAAGTATCCACAGTGGACAGCAGCCCTATAATTGTGAGTGTGGGAAATCCTTCAATTATAGATCAGTCCTTGACCAACACAGGAGGATCCACACAGGAAAGAAGCCATACCGATGTAATGAGTGTGGGAAGGCTTTCAATATCAGATCAAATCTCACCAAGCATAAAAGAACCCATACTGGAGAGGGACCTTTAAATGTGACAAATATGGGAAGCCATAGTGGCGCATCACAGAAGAGAGCTCATGAAGGAGGGAATGCTCTGGATGGGACCAGGATGAGTGTGTCTCTGTAGGAGGCAGAGCTTACCAAGTATCAAAGAACTCAAGTGGAAGAAAAACCTTACAAGAGCATCTGAGGTCATTGTTCATGGCTTATGATTTACATAGTATAAGTGAATTCATGAGTAACTTTTTTCTGTGATTTTTCAATCATAGCCAGCAAAGAAGGTTCCAGTGTCAAAGTAATTGAGCCTTTATGGAATATAAAATAGTTTGTACTGGGGATAAAACCTGTCAAAGTGATGGAGCAGACATTTCTGGACATAAATGAAAACACACATATGAGGAAAAGACTTCAATTAGAAGTCATATAGTCACCATCAGAAAGTTCACATTTGGGTAAACTCTGAACAGAAATGTAGGAAATTCAGGTATAGCCTTGAATCCCAGTTATCCACTGGTCAGTGGAAAAGACCCAAGAAGGACCTCCAGTAGGCAAATTCAGGGGGAGAGAGGCTTCAGGGAATATAAACCCAGATAGCAATGATCATGAAGTATAACCTTGACATAACTAAATGATTTGGGGGAGTGATGGCAACTTCTGAAACACAATTTGGATTTCACTGTAGGAAATGTAAAAAGTGTAGACTTATAAATCTAACAGGAGATAAGAAAGTCACTCATAAATAAATGCAAGTTGACTGTGCTGTCCTGTTGTAATGTTGTGATATACTATTTTAATGGGTAAAACTTAAAATTTCAAATGAACCCCCTCAATGAATGATGAATGTGTGATAAGTGAAAACCTCACACGTTATGCTACAAAGGAAGGGTTTTACCATGGAGAGAAATTCAGCACATTCGATGACTAATGGAACACATCTCAACATGAATTTGCACCTTACACAGAAAGAATTGATTCAGGGATTCCTATGAATAGGAATGCTGAGAAGGAGGGCATTTTATTGCGGGAGCTGAAAAGCTAAGTAGCTACTAGTAATCAAGGGATAGTAGGAAACTCATTCTTAACCTGTTAAATGTTTGATTGTTTTGGATTGTGTTATTGTAAAGATTTCATTCATTATGTGTGTGTATTGTCTGTTGTAAAATGTTATGCATACTTTGTTGAGGGCTCACTCTCTTGGCCACGAAGAGCCAGATAGTGGCTCTTATAAGGCAAGGTAAGGTGAAACTCCAATAAAGAAATTCTTCAAAAGTGAACAGGCTGTGACATACTTTAGGTGGAGTAGCATACGGAGAAAGCCACTTGTCTGTCATATCTTTGTGGGGTAAGTTATACCAAATCCAAATCAAGGAGGCAGCAGGGGACTCATCCCACAGGGCTAGTAGCTCAAATTTCATGAGAAATTAGGTGGCGCCTCCATCAGGAGAAATGCAGATTGGATTGATCCTGCTGGGGCTGGATCCTAACCCCTGGGAGTGGACAGGCTGTGTGAGTGGTCCAGTCTTTACACAGAAACAGTTCTCTTGGGAAGAGTAGAAATTAACACAATATTGTTAACAATATATAAGGCAGGTAACTAGGAAACTCAGGGTAAAAAGAGAGTCTTCTGAGAATTAAGTAACCTGTTCGAGAATACTCTGGGTGGGGTCTGTTAGTAGAGGCTGAGTTCTAAGTCAGGTCTCTGGCTCCAAAATCTACTCTTAAAAGAGAACAGTGTCTGGTCACATAGTTTCCTGGTTCTCTCCAGAATTCCTTTTTTTATACACATGCCTCTCTCTAGGAGTATTTCTCTCACTCTGCCTTCAAACTAGGTAAGTTTTGATGGAGGGGGTGGAGGTGGGAGGATTATGGTAGAAAAAGGAGAGGGAAGGCATTTCTGCCACTCAGCTCCACTTGGGAGTGTCACAGCCACACCTGCTCTTTGTCCTCTACATGCAGCACTGGCAAACCTGACCCCATCCATAGATTTGTATTAATTTATTCAGCAAGTACTTGCTGACGATCTGCTAGGCACATTGTCCTAGGCACTAGGTAGCAGGAGTAGGTAGTGGGGAGAGACCACAAACAAAGCCACCCTAATGGATGCTGAACTAAACCATAAATGTTGCAAGGAAAGTGAGCTGCAGCCACTGGAAGGGAGGCAGGGTGACATCTAAACAGGATGTTGATTGGGTCTTTTTAAGAGAGAGGAGTGGGAAATAGGATGGCCTGATCAAAGGCAGCATCGGAAATGCTTGTGCATCCTCCAGGGTGTCCAGTCCTTGGCAGGCCTGGTACACAGTGGGCAGAAAAGAAAGAGGCTGTAGAGTACTGATTTCCAGTAGCCACTGAGCATCAACATCCTTTCATTTGCTGAATATAGGACCAGCTCTAACTGTTTGAGATGATCAGATTACTTAAAGTTTTCATGTGGCCAGGGCTGTTGGTGTGCTAGTGGCTTGAGGCCCCCAACCCCCTCACACACACACCTGCATGAGCTCCACCTGGACCTATTGCATCATGTACTTTTGAGAGAGACACAGGTTAGGTAACAAGGTAGAAGAAGATAGCTACGACATGAATGGGGATTCAGAGTGTCCCAGCCCACTGAACACCAGGGCATGTTCCCACTGCAGCCTCCATTGACTCAGACACAGAAAATGGGCTGCAGTCTACCAAGTGCTCAGGCCTTGAGCCTACCTCAGGCTGCATGTGTGCTGCTGGACTGATCCCAGATGAGGAAGGGGTCTTTCCACTCCAGACAGACTTTGTGGTGCAGATCAAATGAGCTGGTGCAGGCCCTCCTCTGGACTCAAGCTGGTTTAGGGACCACAAGCCCCACCCCCTTCCAGGGAACGTTTGTATGCAAAGAGAAAAATTAGTTTTCTGACATATATAGGCAAATCAAAACACTTGAAAAATGCCACATCTAATCCTCAAGGCTGAAAGAAACAGAACTGAAATACTGGACAACAGGTAAATTGGAAGCTGGAAGATCTGTGTGAAGCAGGCTAAAGTGCTTGTATTATTTGGGAGGAGGGTCAAGATGCTGTTTAACTTGATTTTGAGTTAAATATGGTAAAATGTCATGGGCAAGCACTAGAAGGATAGAAATAAAGTATGTAAATCTAAAAATCTAGACTAGAAAACCTCAAAGTCTAGAAAAGAGAAAAATATTGAAAAGGTGAGGCAATTACTTTTTTTCTGGAAAGGGTAGGCTAGGTTATTTGGGTCAGTTTCCCACCAAAAACATAGAAAAAGACTTTTTTTTTTATATGTAGATAGTCTGCATGGAGATAGAGAAATATGAGAAAACCCAGAGAGATGGGAAGATCTCACTGGGAAGTTCTAACATTTAATCACGGTCTTAGAAGGCAAAGACAGAAGACAAGACGCAGAGGTGATGGGGCTGAGGATATTCAGAACTGATGAAAAATACAAATCTATAGATTTAGAAGCCCAAAGGACACAAACTAGGATAGATTTATAAAATCACATCGACACACATCATAGTGCAACTGCAGAAAATCAAAGGGAAAAAATAACAGCCAAAGAATTAAAATTATCTTTAAAGGAACAACAGACTTCTCAACAGCAACACTGGAAGCCAAATGAGCAGAATGCAAAGTCAGTACAAAACTAGAAAGTAACTGTCAGCCTAGAATTTTTTACCCATTGAAACTATCTTATGAGTGAGGATGAAATAAGCACATTTTAAGACAAAAATGTCTTCTATTCATTCCCTGCTGACCCTCATTAAAGGAAATTTTAATGCGTTTTAATGTGGAAGGAAAGTGATCTCAGATGGGGTTTTGAGATGCAAAAAGAAATGAAGAGCAAAACAGGTAGGCAAATGTAACTGAACATTTTATACCAATGAAAATCTAGAGTTGTTACAATGGACTTAGAATACCAGACGACAATGATATATAAGTCAAGAGATTAAAAAGGCTTGAAGTATTATTTTAGGGTGAAGGTTTTGGTGACTCATGAATATTGTAAAATCTAGAGGAATCATAAGAATAGAACATAATTTCAATACTAATAGAAAAAAGTTTTAATCAAAAAGGTAAGTAAAAAGGGGGTGATACAAGAAAAAAAGATGGTAAATCTTAAGCCGAGAAATACCAATATTTACATTTAATCTGATTTCACTAAATGACAAAGATGTCAGACTGTATCTCCATGCTGCGTTCTGGATAACTACTTCAAACGTATTTTTTTAGCTCACCAATTCTCTTTCCTCCTGTTTTACAGTCTGTTGCCAAATACATCTTTAAATATTTCAAGCAGTTGTTTTCACACATGTACCCAATAATTCTAATGTGACGTCTGTGAGTCTGTTCTTTTCTGCTGGCTTTCAGTCATGCTGCCTTTTTTCTTTATATGCCTGTCTTTGTGATTAGGTCATGAGGGTGGGGCCATCATGAATGGGATTAGTGCTCTTATAAAGAGACCCCACAGGACTCCCCTTCTTCCATGTGAGTTTGCAACAAGAAGTCTGCAACCCTGAAGAAAGCACCCACCCAACCATGCTCCAATCACTCTGGAAATACATTTTTGTTGGTTGTAAGCCACCCAGTCTGTAGTGTTTTGTTATAGCAGCCAGAACAAACTAATTACCTCCCAAAGGCCCCACCTCCTACCACCATTACACTGGGCATTAGGATTCAAACCTGTGAATTTTGGGGAAACACATCCAGACTATAGCACATAGGGCAAAAGTACAAAACCCCAATATATTGCTGCTTAGAAGAGACTCAAATATAAGGGTACAAAGTTTAAAAGTAAAAGAATGGAAAGAAGTTACACGAAGCCAATAGAAAACTAGTGTAGCTCTACTGATACTAGATGCAACAGGGACTTCAAGGCACAAACCATTCCTACAGATAAAGGAAGTTGTTACATAAGACAAAAGATTCAGAGAAGAGAAAACACTGGGAAGATAGAACAGTTTTAAGTCAGTATGTACCTAATAACAGCTCAGGACTTGGCAAATACGGAGACGTCAAAGGAGAAACATAAAATCTACCATTAGGATGAGAGATTGTTTTACACCTCTTAAAGTAATAGGACAAGCAGACTAAAAATTAGTAAAGATACAGATTTAAACAATAAGATTAACAAGCATTCTAACTCATGTATGGGACATCCCACCAGTGTGTCAAAGATGCATATTTTTTGTCAAGCACATATGAAACATTGTCAGAATTGACTTACCCAATGTTATATGTCAACTATGTTTTAATTAAGGGGGGGGTGGTAGTTGACAAATATGCTGGGCCATAAAGTCAATCTCAACAAATTTAAAATAATTGAAATTGAATTAAAATACTTTTAACATCCCTATTATATTCAGACATTTACAGATACATTTTAAAATCATGGTTCAAACTTGTCTATTTTATATATAGTAGTTAATATTTGCAAATCTTGAACTCCCAATTTATCCCTTCCGACTCCCTTTCCCCCAGTAACTGTAAGTTTGTTTACTATGTCTGTGAGTCTGTTTCTGTTTTGTATATATGTTCATTAGTGCCTTCTTTTTTTAGATTCTACATATAAGTGATATCATGTGGTATTTTTCTTTCTCTTTCTGGCTTCACTTAGAATGACGATCTCTATGTCCATCCATGTTGCTGCAAATGGCATTATTTTATTCTTTTTTATGGCTGAGTAGTATTCTATTGTATAAATATACCACGGCTTCTTTACCCAGTCATCTGTCAATGGACATTCAGGTTATTTCCATGTCTTGGCTATTGTATATAGACAGTGCTGCTATAAACTTGGGGTTCATGTATCTTTTCAAATTAGAGTTCCCTCTGGATATATGCACAGGAGTGAGATTGCTGGATCATACAGTAAGTCTATTTTTAGTTTTTTGAGGGATCTCTGAACTATTTTTCCATAATAGCTGTACCAAACTACATTCCCACCAAGTTTCTTCTAGCACAAGGAGCATTCTTTATCTTGTAATAACCTATAATGAAAAACAATATGAAAACAAATATATGTATATATATATATATGTATAAAACAATTGTACACCAGAAATTGATACAACATTGTAAACTGACTGTACTTCAGTAAAACAAAACAAAACAAAACAAACCTTAGAAGAAGAAAATAATAAAGTAGTTTGCAAGACAAGGAATAATATTTTTTGTTGTGGGCAAGAGGAAAACCTTACTTACTAGCTTATGATTTGAGCTAATTGCTTAGCCTCTGCGAGCCTCGTCTGCAAGATGTGGCAAAGCTCACAGTATAGTCG